CCTTGCGCCTGCCACGCGAAAGCACATCTGAACGTCCAAAAGTGCTCCGTACCCGTCACTTTTTTGCACTTTTGACTTCGAAATGTGCTTCGCGCCACAACGGCGTGCACTTTTTCGACATCTCAAGTGCCAAAAGTGGTCCGCATCCCTAGTGTTTTTAACATTTTGACTTGGAAATGTGCTTCGCGCAACAACGGCGTGCAATTTTTCATCTCTCCTTTGGCCAGCTGGCTCCGCACCCGCCGCTTTAGCGAGCCTACTTTTCGACCCTCCAGAGCCACAAATCATTGGAAAAACGCAGTGTTTCGCGACTTTCTTACCTTTTCGCGCATCTGCGTCTTCTTTCTTCTGACTCTTTCTCTTCTCTGACCTTCTCTCTTCTACTCTTCTCTTCTCTCTGACTCTTCCCATCTCTGCCTTTCATCTGTCCATATTGTCGGAAGTTTGACTTCTAAACTTCCTTCGATTATATAACTATTTATGTATCGACCTCACGGTATTTTTTAGCTATACCATCTGTTCCCTCACCATCTAGACTATGCACACCATTACAAACTGACCCTGATGCCTTTTTTAATCGCTATTTATCAGAGGAATTAAAGCCCTATCCCCGTTCATATTACACACACACACCAAAGCATAGTAGATGTTAGATGCTTTTCTTTTTTGATATTTGGGACCCACCTAACAGGTATTATAACTAATATGAACGGAGGGTTTGTTTGTCTTTTTCTAGTTTTCTCCTGAATTTGTCGCATCAGCTCAGGACATTTGATGACTATGAGGAGATGTTCTACCAGTTCGCCAAGCCCTTGAAGATTCATCGACCATTGATCCCAATGCCCTACCGAAACTTGACGGGGGAAAAATGGATGAGACCCAGAAGATAGGGAAAATGACGATGAACCATGGGATCCCAATTTCGGACAATCCAGTTGTTCTTGTTCAGTATCGACGTCCCTGTGGTTATCATCGGTATAAATACATTATATATAATTATATTATATATATATACATTTGCAATGATGGATGACTTGGGTTTGCAATGCCTTTGAAAGCATGTTGTGCCTGCGGTTCTCCTGTTCTATAATTACCCACGCATGTGTTTGTCAACTCATTCCCATGCTGTTGAGAGAGAGATATTATATATATATAATTATATATGTATATATATATATAAAATATCAGAATGTGTTTTTGTTTGTTGTCTATTCCAGTTGGTAGAACATGTTTCATTCCATACCCAATACCTTTTGTTTGGGGGTGTCATGTTGTAGTTCAAGGACGTCCTTTCATAGCCTATTCAGTTTTCTGCAGGGTGTTTTACCGATAAATGTGATTTATTCAAATGTCAATTTGTATCGGCAATGGATTTATGGACACATATATGTATACATAATATACGTATATATGTTTATATATACATATATGTATATGTATATGTGTGTGTGCGCATACAAATACAAATTTCGACACACACACACACATGCACACAAGTTGTCGTCCTCCTCGAAGTGATGACATTTTTCTGGGTGGCTCTACCCAGGAACTGCCGAGGAGATGAAGAAGAGCCCGGAGTTGCTGTGGGAAGGCGTGAGATCTCATATATCTATGATGTATCCCCCAGAAAGATAGAAGTGGTTCGGTTTTCCATGAATCTATTATATTCTATTTATTTTTGTAGGATTTCACTTTCACATATTTGTTTTGGGTGTTATAGATCCAACACTAAACCAAGGCCAGGGTTGATTGGAGGGTTCCTTTAGAGGTTAACGGTCGGTGACGCGGGGAGGGATGGTGCTTTAAGCAACGGTCGACATGCCTTCAAGAGATACAGCGCTGGACGTAGGGAGAGGACAGTCCTTAGGGACTGTCACATGAACAATCGTGTATGAACTAAGTCTTCATTAATAAGTCATTTATATTATATATATATTTATATGAGGAGATAGGCCACATTTTAGTTTATCATTTTGCCGTTCTTCAGTGACATGTTTGAAAGACCTCCAAATAGATTGGCCACGCCAGGTGCCTGGTTGTCCTTCCGCACCTTGGCTGCTTAGGGTATGCGAAACGCTACCGTGGCGGATACCCGCAATTTTACGACCTTTCTATGAGGGAAATCTAGGGAACATGATGATGAACTTAATGGTGGAGAATGGTTAACCATGATTATAGCCAATGACATGTTAAGGGTTAATGGATGTTAATTAATGTTAATGATGATTGGATACCCTTTTCCGATCGCCCGCTTTCTATCAAACTGACAGCGCTTGCATTTTCGAGGCCAACGTGTTCTGGGAGACTACACCTCTAGGCGGCCCACCCGGGTTTCTCTTTGTATGTGCGGTCAAAACATGGTATGTGGGCTATGGTAGGATTTATTTTTCCTTTATGGGAAATTAAGACATGTATTGACCATGACGCATTTAAGCCCTTGTTTTGTTGTGGTGTCAGTAAATGGACTCCTCGATTTTTCCACAGGAACAGCATTGTAGACATACATTTGAATTAACACCCCAGATTTCGGATGTTCAATGCTAAACATTACCAATGTTCTACCTTGTTTGTTCTTTAAATAGCACAACATCCCAGCATTCAACCATTCATACTTGGTGGCTCACCCCAGTGGGGCAGTTTACCTGGACTAACCCTCAGGGGCTCTCCCGAGTGAGTTCACCTTGGTCACAGGCACTATTTCCGCGACTTCATCGGTGGCATGGGCGTTGGCGTTTTCTTGGCTTGGGCGGCCCGGCGGCACTTTTTGGTGCAGCACTAGGTGCTGATTCAGCAACCAAACAACACTGCTTGGTGGTTTCAAACGTTTTTTTCCCCATGTTCCCCAGAAATGTGTATTGATTTAATACCCCTTAATTTGGTTTATCTGTGATATATATATATGCATACATACAGTATATACATGCATAGTGGGGGCTCAAGATTGCTAAGTTGGTTTAAAACCACAACAACCAGGGTTTATGGGGAATATAATTTTATAGTTAGATGGGGTTATAAACCAACTTACAACTAAGGGGGATCATATTGTACTGATATTTTGCACTGTTGCTGTTGTTGTTGTTGTTGCTGTTGTTGCTGTTGTTGTTGTTGTTGTTGATTTTTTAGGCTTGGATTTGAGTGTTGCCCCTCTCCACATGACTTCCCTAATTGCACAGGAAGCAGTTGAAAAAAACCGGCTGTACATTTTTGTTGAAAAGTGTTTATATATATAAGTATTGAGCTTGTTTCAAAGGTGTGCTGCATGCTGATAGTGCAGAGTCTTTGTTTTGGGAAAACACATGTTGGAAGGGAATGATTGCCACATATTTAAAGCGAACAAATATTTTCTCAACAGAGAACATCAAATCACTTCTTCGAACGCATACTACTTGTTTTGGAAACATCTTGGCACTGTGACGTCAAGCGTAGACAGAGCAATCTTACATGAGAGACTGGTCAGCCTGCAAGTCCCTGATCGGTGGATGACTTTGATGAGATCTGCCCAGATCCAAATCAGACGGGAAACAGCTGAAAGAAGGTTCCGGAAAAAACTTCGACGACAAATGAGAAATACCACGTGGATCATTTCAAGCAGTGATAGTGATGATGATGAGGTCATTTTTGTTTCACATGCACCTGGCCGAAGCGAGGGTGCCTTGAATCCGTGATACCCACATTTCACCCCTTTTCGTGTAATTTATTTTGTTTATGCTCATCCCTGCTCTTTGATGAGATTGTCTCACCACGCGTTTTTGCTTGTTTCACCTTGAAAGCGGTTTTTGGGAGATGTGCCGCCGCACTTGCTACGCGAGTGCACAGGGCACAGGACAGAACAGAACAGAACAGAACAGAAAGGGGCCCACGTTTTGTCACGGATTTGTGCATCCTTTTCCAGTTTTTCTTCAAAGACAAGCAGCCGGTGACCTTGATATGGCAGTGCAGATTTTGCAGGAATGTTGTATTTAAGGAATGCAGCAGCTTCATTGTTTGCTTAAAAGAATGCTGAACCTCGTTTTGGGAAGAAAATATATGGCTGAAAAGGCAATCTACCTGTTCCATATTATTGGACCTGTAAATTAATAGTTGCTCTTTTTTCCAGAGGACTGCGCTTCTTTTGATTCTTTAAAATAATGAAACCTTCAGAAACCCAAAACTAAATGCAAACCTCGTGGTCAAACAGTATTACAAGAACCTTCGGGAACAACAAGTAATCAGCATTAAGTTGCCTGCTCGGTGGAAAAAATAAACACAAGTGCAAGCACCTTGGGAGAACATCAAGAAAAAACAGACAGCAAACCTATGTTTGCAATCTTTGGGGTGATGCGGTCAAAAAGTGGCTATTATTTTCTTTGTTTTTAAAACCATATTTTACTGCAAGCTGTTTGCGCACTTTTGACCGAATCTAGAGGACACCAACAAACCAAAAAATAATGTGTTGAATGAATATCTGGTTTGAGGCGTCAAAGATGATTCTTTTGTGTTCCGTCGTTTTTTCTTGTTTTCTTTATATAGTTTTGAAACTTAATCAAATAAAAACCATCATTAGTTTTGTCTTTGGGTTCAAGGCTTTCAAGCAACATCATCAAAAACTAAACGAGTTTTGAGAAGTTGCGTTTTTTCAGTGTTTTTTTAGCAGTTGTTAAATTTGTTCAATGATTGTTCACTAAAAGCGCTGTTTCTTTTTTGGTTTCTAGATGTTTCTGGCTAAAAAAAGCAAGAAGTACCTGCATAGGTCTGCAGTTTTATGTTGCTTTCATGTCAACATTTATTAGTATTGATGTCCTCGCACATGCGGAACCATGCCGTGGGCTGGAATTCCACAAAATCCCAAGAATCACAACACTGCCAATATTTGTGAAGCTATGATTGGGGCCGAGCATGGTTGTGTGGGCCTTGAGATTATTGTTTATTTTGTGTTTTAATGGAATTAGCAAATAACCACCACTTGCAACAGTAATTATGTAGACTATATAAATTCATTATTCTTTCAGAAGAAAGGCGAGAGAAAAGAATTAGGGGAAACATAGTATACGCATTTTTTTTTTGAGACAATGCGGATAGCGCCAAATGCCGACAAACATATTTAAAAATTGAAAAAGGGTACCCGTAGGTCTTGGGGGCAGTACCAGTCATAAATAGTAGCTAAAACTTAATGATTTTCCCTGCGCACAGCTTCCCCCACGGGGAAGTGGCACCCAACAGCCTCAGGTTTACACACAAGCGCATCGCCAGTATCGTATCGATATGAAGCTCTTCTACTTGGAGGCGCGCGATCGGAATCGAGGGGTGTTGGGATGAGATGGTGGGCACGCTGGGTTGTGAAATATGTTTGTTGGGTGGGTCAGATATCATTTGACTCCTTATGTAATCTTTTGTGCATCTGTAGTATGTCAATAACTAGGGATATAGCACCAACAAGCAAGAAGAGAATAGAAGTGATCGAATCAACATGCCAAAAATGAAGGATGCAAATGCAAACGAGAATAACGGCGCATCTTAAATCACTGGATCAGCCCAACTAGCCAATTGCCATTGCCTCCAGCCTGCCTCAACCATTGCAGGCACCCGAGCACAAGATCAACTGGGTCACCCCACGTGGGGATTTGTGAGTCCGGGCGGGACCGCCAGTGATCGCCGCTTGTGCCAAGTGGAGTCTTGCCGTCAAGCAGATTGAGTAACATTTTCACCAGCAGAACGTGGCGATGCAAAGCCAACTCATTTAGTGGGCCCGTTGGCCCAGTGGTATCCCGTTTGTGTTCGTTGGTCATGTTTTTTTTTTTGTGGGATTTTGATGCTTTTCTGATGCAATCTATGATAATGCCTTTACCTTTGGATGTCATAGGTGAGACTATTACCATCTGAAATAATACTGTAAGAATATCAGAGAGATGGCAATGAAGAGAGCAGAGATATATGAAATGGATTGCAATGCTGTATGACTTCATGTTCTACCAAATGGATCTAAGTGGAGAGGCATTTTAGGTACAGTAGTACATTTGTTTTTTGAAGTATTCAGGGTTAGCTGCCTGGCAGAACGTCACAGGCACAGGCGCGCCACCGTGGCCGGCGGATAGGGAAGTTGGCCATGCAACCAGGAAAAATCAGAAAGTTCTGCCGAGGTACGCATCATAGAAAACATTCTGCTCCAGAGACTATTGGAAGAAAAAAACCAGATACTCGAATGACAACCACCCTGGCACCCTGGTGCCCATTTTATGGGCCCAGACAATCTTAGATCCAGAACCTTTACTTTACATTCCACCAAGGATTGTAGCCGTTATTCATCAACACGTTGAAGCCATCACAAGGGTTTCAAGAAGATTTTCGGAAGGCTCTTAACTCCGGGGCGTATCAACAAAGAGTCTTGGAGTCATCCACGTTGACACTGGAAATACATACAACGTTAACCGTTTGGCCATTAGAGATTTGACTTTGGAAAAAGGAATCGTAGCAAACTGGAGCTCGGAGATGATCATGTGTCCATTTTGGAGCGGGTGTGCTTGGCCATTCCACATGCGGTAGTCATTACCATTGCTGCGAGGCAACAGTTGGAGGGAACTTACAGTTTCCCTGAGCGCCACTCTGTTACACCCGGGATTGCACCATTGTGTCCTATTCATTGAACAACATAATTGACTGGTAGTTAGACGCAGTCTGACTTTGGGTTTGGTGGCTATTCCCAACTTATCTATCATTCTATATTAATTATATATATATATATATTTATTTATGTATACTGTATATATATATGTGTACATTAAAACAACAACAACAACAACAACAACAACAACAACAACAACAACAACAACAACCAACAACAACCAACAACAACCAACAACAACCAACAACCAACAACCAACAACCAACAACAACAACAACAAAAACAACAACAACAACAACAACAACAGCAACAACAACAACAACAACACCGCCTGAATGCCTGCATTGTTCACCCGATTTGGTATGATGATATCAATCTAGCTTTCTTCAGGTAAGACATCCTACATGGAGGGGTGATAAGATGTAGTTGTGCAGGGACCATCCACCCATTCAGCATCCCAAAACGATGGTGAAACATATTTTCTTGACTTGGTGTTCAGCATCGTCCAACAAACATTCGACAAAGCGCTGTCAGTTCCCATGCAGATTTTTTTTGGCCGATGCCCATCGGCCGGGCATCTAAGGTTCAGCATCTCGGTTGGCGTTCAGAAAAGCTGCGGCTCCATGGGGGATCCTGATGCTAGCCCCTCTTGGGGACTATACCAAGCTTGGGGATTTCCAATAAGGTACCTTTCCAGGGCTGGTGAACTGAATGAGCTGGGGATGATGACATGAGGTTGAATCCCATTTGAGTGGACTCGGTTTGTCTTAAATCAACTGGTCAATCATAATTTGTTCCTTAACGTCGCCTGAAATTGTGGGTTGAATCCCACTCCCCCATTTTCAGACACACCCGGCTGGTCGGCTGGTCGTGTGATTTGCCCATGAGCCCCCTGTGACTTGTCCTTTTCAATGCAGTGCATCGGGATGCAGACTCGGCCACAACTCGGCTAGGTGGGTCAAGTTGATTGCAAGAGATCGGAGCATTTTTTATCATGTAATATTATATATATATATGATTATGATTATACTTCAATATCGATTTATGTGCATATATGGGCATACAAAATCATATATGAATATACATATATTTCAATATGAATTTCTTTGATTCCATTGATTCCGTTTGTTTTCTCTGGACCTGGAAAGGTGTGATGAACGCTGTGATGCTGAAAACTCTCCCCCGCACCCGAGGTCCCCGAGTTCCCAAGTCCTTGTGGGGGCACCTGGGGATAGCGCATCGGTTCAAGGGAAAATCCAGAGGAAACTATCCGCCATTGAAGTTCTGTTATGGTTCAATATTTTCTGATTATTTTAATTTATCAATAATTTAACTAGACAAAAATAATATCCAATATTCGGTTCGGTTTAAGGCTTTGTTTTTGGTTCAACATGGTTTAATCATGATAAGTCCAGGGCATTCCTGTAAAGTTTAACTTGAGCCATGTCCAACCCATCCAGTGACAAGCACATGGTTGACTAAGAAGCTCTTGTGAGAATCAAGAGTTTAATACGGAGAAGCACACTATCACTATCTAGTACCTGCATACATCCTATATCATATTGTAACTCTTATTCTACTCAGCTCTGATGTCCCTGTATATGCCGGTGCGCATGTATTTCTGAATTGAATTGATTGATTCGTAATAACACCAAAAAGTAGACCTAAGTGTTTCCATGAAGCTATAGGTGATGTTTCATCCATATTTTCCAGGTGTTTGAACTATTTGAAACTGTTCTCTCTGTTGATATAATTCTTTTTGGAGTCACCATAATATTGATGTCAGTGATGCCCAAATGTCCACTATAGACTTGTAGATCCTGATCCACCAAGGCGCAATGTCCAGCAGGTTCCGGGGCTCAGCCCGCTGTCACACAGACCCCGTGGTTGAGAGGCAGGCTACCAAAACAGATGACATGCAGCTTACATTTTTGTTATTTTGGGATGGGGGACGGTTGTAGTACATGACCTGCAGATTATGTGCAGTTTTTCTGTTTTGTTGGTTGTTTTTTTAGGTTGAAACTTAGCTCTTGTGGCTGTGGGGTTCCCCCCGATGAATCAACCAGGGTCTTCACCAGATCGCTATATCCCGATATGTACATTTCCAGGTGATTCCACCATGATTTGTTGCTTTGATCCAGGGTTGTTCGTGGTGAAATCGGCATTTGTGGTAGCACAATCCCCAACCCTGCCGGTCTTACAGTTGGAATATGCAGTAGATACATGCTAAATTGATCTATAAGTTGTGTATATATATATATACTATATTGTATATAGTTATGTTGAATAATTACAATTTTGTTCCCAGTAAAAGGCTATGCTTTTCAGTTAAAGGTCCCCAGGTTTAGAGGAAGCCCTCTGAAAAGCCAAAGGTCTTTGAGGAGGTTCGTGCGCGACGCATGGCTGAGGTGGGGAACATCTTAAGATCAAAGCATTGGTGAATGTTCTGCATGGGTGATGTTCGGTGATGTACAGTATTTTTACATAGTATGTTTGAATATATGTCTTCATTGCGCTTCGTTTTTCTCTCTCCCTCTCTCTCCCCCTGTATTTTTGCATAGTGTGCATTTTGTTCGCCAGTTTTACGGAGGAAGCCTTGTAAGAATTATCTCGTCAAAATACATGTGGGTCTTCACCTAAACAGGATCAGGGCAGATGGCGCCACCAATGGTAAAAAAAAACACAAAAACAATGCGCAGTTCAAGAGTCCCAGCAACGGAAGTTTGCTCCGGAAAACATGCAGTCTGAGGATGTCTGAGGTACTTGGTGTTGCCATGGTTTATTCTTGCAAAGATACCCTCCATCAATCAAAGGTGGCACTTGGAACTAACCATCCTGTCAGGTCCAGAAGGAAATCCACTCTTTCATTCAAGAGACAGTGCTTGAACGATCCTGGACGTTAGGATTCATGATTAGAAAGTGGATTCGTTAAAACTTCATTCTACTCACAGGGTAGCCCTCTAGTAATTTAACATAGCCATGGAGTTACCTATTAAAACGTTGCCTTCAATAGCCAATAGCTGTGCTAGATTATCAACAGCGCCCGTCAGTAGAATTCCGAATTATTTTGGAAAAAATCGGTTTTACATTGTTTTATACCACATTTTTTCCATTGAAATTCCGATTGATACAGGAACCCCATTGATTTTTTACACACCGGTCGTGCTCGCAGACCGAAACGCTGTGGCCCACCTTCGCGGGCATAGGACATGCCACCCGAAAGGAGGGTACACCATATATATATAATATATATATATATATATACATATAATATGTATATATTTATATATGTTTATTTATTTCTATCACGAAACAATATGAAACCATATAGTCGGTACTCGTATATAATCAGATGTTTTGATTGCGTCTATTTGTGCGTGTGCGCGCATATACACGCATATGATACAGTATGCATGTGATACGGTATGCATATGATACAGTATGCATAGTGTATACATAAATTTGGGTAAACTATAGTGACGTCACTGGAATCATAGTGAGGAATCGGCCTTTTTTCAGCGTAGTTAATCATTATAAGTTAGACGCATTAAGGGTCTTGAGATGTGTTGTTCATGTGAGCTTCAATCTCATTATCTCACTATCGACAAGGACCTTCAAGAACGAATTTGAAAGATAAAGGTAATGTTTGACTCTTGTGTTAAGTCCAAGTCGAAAAGTAAGCCTTGGTCACAGGGCGCCCAATAAGCTTGGGCTGCCTGGGATTGAAATTTGGGAACCTCCATCGTACCCCCCAAAAAGTATGTCATATCGGGTAAACCCAGAGTGCACGAGGTCACGAGATGAGAAAA